ACGCTCTTAGCTTTTGAAAGGTCTTGATCTCCCACTAATCAAGCTATCTTTAATTGTTCATCTGTTATCCCTGAGAATTTTTCTCTTCTCCAGTTTCACTGACCTCCACACTGTTTTTAATTGTTGTCGTGTCTGCTGCTTCTTTCAGACCTGATGAAAAATGCTTTACATTAAAAATATGTCTAAGTCTATCCCAACCGTGCAGTTGGTTCAATAAAACATATCACCCACAAAAATCTCTGCCTCTCTCATAGTCAAATTTAGTTTTCTTACTGACTTTCTGAATAAACTGTTTTGAAATGCAACTCATAACCCAGGGTTTAAATTTCTTCCAAGGCAGGTGGTCTCTGGTGTGCTATTAACATGCCCTTCTCATCTAGAAGACCATTTTTTGATTGTGTTTAAAGCAATATTTTGTGTAGTCTGCTATCAAAATAAATCTCAAAATCAAAACTTCTTGAGTTGTACAAATCAGCTATGAACCACACAAGTTCTTTTTAAAATTCTGGCATAATATTCAAGTTGCTTTGATTTGTGATTATAAAACTTATAATACTGCCAACATGACTAATTTCTAGATCCTAAAGGAATGTAAGGGACACCATAAATGTTTCTGTTTTGCAAGCCATTCTCTTGGCAGGGTTTAAAAATACAAGCTTTAAATTACTGAAAGTATCTTTAAATGCAGAAAAGCTCTATCATTTCTGGTACTGAGTTATGACAAAGGTGTTAAATTTATCTAAAGAAGTAACCTTTCTGAATGTATTTGCCATGCCCTGTCTAACAGCATTCTGCTCAACATTCAGATGGTATTTGACTTGATCTTCCTTTGTTTGGTGTGCATTAGAAGCTGCACATTAACCAAGTACGTTTGAGTAGCAAGGAGATGATGTCATGTCCTGTCCTATCTGTGGCACTGTACTGCAAAGTAATTTTTATGCACTCTGTAAATGATTTCCTGAATCCCATGGTAGCATGCCCACATTCTTGATCTCTGAACAAAATGCCTCAGTCAGGTGGGACACTGCGAGCAGGGAAAACAACCTCAGAATGTATAGAGCTTTCTGGTTACTGAAACTTGGATTATAAGAACAATGATAAAGAAAATAATTGTGATTTATTTTATACCATTTCCTTATTAAATTAACATTCGTGAGGCAGGAATGCTACCTGCTATCATGCAGCTGACTGGACTTTTGAGTTAGGCCAGTGATGTGCTGAGCTTCCATGCTCCTCTTAATGAAGTCAGGGGGAGTGGAGGGTTTACAAAGATTGCAAGCATTGCATAGGATTAGGCTTGTAGCAGTGTGGCAGGTGAACAGAATTGTCAGTGTAGGTAAATATAGGTCAGACCTTGTTGGTCTTTCTCATGTCACTTATCCTGTTTAATAAAGTAGAATATTCTGGGAAGGGCTGAAGAATTGGAGACTAATCTAAATGTCTTTAAATGTTTCTGTTTTCAAGAGACCTGCATCAATCCAATGTGAATTTGGAATCATGAGCAAAATGTCTGACCTAATATGATGAGGTTCCTTTTTACTAAATTAAAAATCAAAATAGGAGACCTGATTCTGCTGCTGTACAGGTTAGCAGTAACTCCACTCACATCAGTGATATGACATCAGTAATGCAGCCTTTGTAAAGTGAGATCAGAATCAAGCCAAGAGCCCTTTAAAAGTTGACATGACTCAAGGTTAAATAGCACCTTACTGTTACCAAGTTAAGATCCTCTTGATATTTTACTTCTCTTCATTAAATGCAATAGTGTTTCTTTTGCAAGCAACACTGGCAGGAGATAGATTGTTGATCCAGCTACTGAAATCAGCTGTCCTGTTGACTTCTATGGGAGCTAGATTGCTTCCCATTTGAGCAATAAATAATAAACGTGAAACAATCACTTAAAGGATATATAATACAAGAGAAGTGCTTAAATTATTTAGGTAACCTAAAAAGGCACCAGTTTAAAAGAGGAGAGCCTTGATGTAGACTTGATATAGAGCTATATTTAACTATTCACCTGCAGTTGAATTTTATAATTTTATAGCCATTCCGTACAACTGTAATTTTCGTATTTGACTCTTGTGTGTTACTGTTGGCATTGTGAGTACCTTGTGACACAGCATGCTGGCTCAATGTCTTCACTGCTTCAGCATTCCATAAAATCCTCCTCTTAACGCGAAAAGAGGGGGGAAAGATACATTTTTATTTCAAATTTAAGATTATAGTTACTGTCTGAACTAGTACTGCAGACAGCAACTGATATGCATCTTCTGCCCCTCTGCCTCTTGGGCTGTCTTCCAATCTCCCAAGGCACACATGCAGCTTCAAATTCTTAACATCTTAGGTAATTAACCATTACAGCCAAATACAAGGGAATGCAGGGGAATC